AAAAAAAAAAGCCATTGAATTGTTCTGCAGCCGGAGGCATGGGCAAGGGGGATCCCCAGGCAGTAAACTCCTCAGTGGGTGGGCTGAGGGCTAGGGCTGAGCCTCAGGTGGGTCTCCTGTTTCCCGTGCTCCCTTGCACTGGGGCCTACCTCCCAGGGTCTGGGGCAGCCTCAGGAGAAGCAGGCTGGGAGGGGCTGCTGCAGCTGTTCACTTAGGCAGGATGTCTGAGGACTCAGACACCAGCCTCCCATCATGGGTCTCAATCTTCTTCATAACCATGGCCCTGATGGAGCTGGTGTGGTTGAAGGAACTGGAGCCCAGGCCGTAGCTGAGGCCAGGGCTTGTGAGGCCCCCATAGGCAGAGCTCAGACCACCTGCATAGCCGCTGGTGGTCTTTGTATGGATACTCATGTTCTGCATCCCAGACTCCAGCCGGCTCTCCTCACCCTCCAGCAGCTTCCTGTAGGTGGCAGTCTCAATGTCCAGGGCCAACTTGATGTTCATCAGCTTGTTGTACTCACGCAGCTGCTGCGCCATGTCCTGCTTGGCCCACTGCAGGGCGGCCTCCAGCTCGGACAGCTTGGCATTGGCATCCTTAATGGCCAGCTCCCTGCGCTTCTCAGTGTCTATGATGGCAGCCTCCAGGGAAGCCCTCTGGCCTTTAAGGCCATCAATCTCAGCCTTGAGCAGGCTGATGTTCTGGTTCATCTCAGAGGTCTCAGACTTTGTACGCCGCAGGTCATACCCGTGCTTCCTGGCCAGCATTTGTAGCTCCTCTTATTTGATCTGGTACATACTCTCAGCATCAGCCCACCTGCACTTGGTGATCTCCTTGTATTGTGCCTTGACCTCAGCGATGATGCTGTCCATGTTTAGGGAGCAGCCATTGTCCATGGACAACACCACAGACGTGTCTGAGATCTGGGACTGCAGCTCCGGGATCTTCCCTTCATACAGCTGCCTGAGGAAGTTGATCTCATCAGTCAGTCCTTCCAGGAGAGATTCCAGCTCTACCTTGTTCGTTTAAGCTTCATCCGCATCCTTCTTATAAGGACAAACTCATTCTCCATCTTAGTACGCTTACTGATCTCATCCTCATACTTGCTCTTGAAGTCCTCCATCAGCCCCTGCATGTTGCCAAGCTCTGCCTCCAGCTTCAGCTTCTCCTGGCCCAGGGTCTCCAGCTGCCACCCAAGATTGTTGATGTACCTCTCTAACATGTTGTCCATGTTGCTCCAAGCTGTCTTCTGCTGCTGCAAGAGACTCCACTTGGTCTCCAGCATCTTGTTCTTCTGTTCCAAGGACCTTACCTTGTCGATGAAGGAGGCAAAGTTGTTGTTAAGGGTCTTGATCTGCTTCTTCTCCTGGGTATGTGTGGCTTGGATGTTGGGCTCCACCTCTAGGTTAAGGAGGCTCATCAGGCTCTGGTTGACTGTGATGGCGGTGATGCTTCCCATGCCCCTGCCGCTGGCCCCACCATAGCCTGCACCCAGGCCACCCCAGAAGCTGCTGCTGCCCACTTGGGAGAAGCTTGAGGAGCTGATGTGGGCACCAGGCCTGTCTTATAAGACTCTTACTAAGAGGAGTTCCCTCAGCAGCTGCTGAAGACCCAGGGGCCAGAGGTGGATACCTTGTAGGACTTCGGGGTCACCCTGATGGACATGGTGAAGGCAGGAGTGGAGGCTGGCGGGCTGAACCAGGCAGAGATTCCAGAAGGATCAGAGAAGCTGCTTCTTGACATTACCTGGTTTTCATATCATATCAAGGGAGGAGGCACTGAAGAGGGTGGGAAAGATGATCCCGCATCGCCTATCCCCTCCTCCCCCACTCCTGGCACAACAGCTTGGAGAAAGAATCTGTGCACCTGGGGGAGAGAGAGGAGTGTGAGATTTTGCATTGGAACTCACTGCTGCCCTGTCACAGCACAGCATAACACTGAGCAGAATTCTGCTGGCACCCACAGAGGAAGCATTTAGATCAGCTCTGGGCCAGAGGAGAATCCTCAGCCAGAGTGGGACGGACCAGAGTCCCAGCTGGTTCTACCAGCAGCTGACCAAAGTTGCCTGGGGCCTTGACTAAATATGAGTGACAGTCAGGTCACAAGGACTATAGTCCTTGGGCAAACCCTGGAGCTGCACTGGTCATGGAGGCAGGGGACTTGGAGTGTGTGTAACCCCATGTGACACCAGCTGTAGTGGCCAAGGGACTGTCTGCATCATTCCTCCCCCAACTCCAGGTAGGGCAGCTTAGGGAGAGACGCTTTTCTGGACTTCGTCTTGCAACCTGAGTAGCAGCTCAGCCACAGGAAAATAAAGCACCAGACAGAATCCTGAAGCTCCTGATTCTAGGCCTTTGCTCCTACACCATACTTCCAGACCCACCGTGGGCCAGAAGGGAATCCACTACTCTGGCAGGTCAGACCTAGTCCTGGCAGAATTCACAATCTGCTGACTAAAGTGCCCTTGGGCTTTGAGTAAATATCAGTGGTAGCTAAGGAGTAGTGCCCACAGGCCTTGGGCAGGACCCAAAATACTGTACTGGTCTGCAAAGCTTCAGGTGTGACCCAGTGCACTGCCATCTGTGGTGGCCATGGGAGTGCTCATGTTACCCTTTCCCCAACTCCAGGCAGCCCAGTGGGGAGAAAGATTCCTGATTGGGGGAAAGAGAGGAAAGAAAGTGAGAGATGTTACCTGGGTAACCAGGGTATTCTTCCTTATCTTACCCAAAGCCACCAAGGAGTGTATCCAGGAGTTGGTACCAGTTGCAGGCACCATAGGCTTAGGGCACCCCCCCAGTACACATCAGCTGCAGAGACCATAGGATTAAGTCACAACACTTAATCCCCTTTGAATATATGGAAAGCCTTCTCAAGGAGGATGGGTACAAATAAACCCAGACTGCAAAGACTGGAATAAATACCTAACTCTTCAATGTCCAGACATTGATGACCATCCACAAGCATCAAGAAAATCAAGGAAAACGTTACTTCACCAAACAGACTAAAAAAGGCACCAGTGACCAATCTGGGAGTGACAGAGATATGTGACCTTTCCAGACAGGAAATTCAAAATAGTGGTCTTGAAGAAGCTCAAACATCGAGATAACAAGATAAGAAATTCGGAATTCTATCAAAGAAATTTCACAAAGAGATTGAAATAATAAAAATCAAGCAGAAAGGCTGCTCTGCCTATGGAGTAGCCATTCTTTCATTTATTTACTTTTCTAATAAACTTGCTTTCACTTTGCAAAAAGAAAAAAAAATCGAGTATAAATTCTAGAGCTGAAAAATTCAGTTGACTGAAAAATGCATTAGAGTCTCTCAACAGCAGAATTGATCAAGCAGAAGAAAGAATAGGTGAGCTCCAAGACAGGTTATATGAAAATACACAGTCTGAGGATTAAAAGGAAAAAAAAAAAGAATAAAAAAGCATGCCTACAAGAACTAGAAAATAGCCTCAGAAGGGCAAGTTGAAGAGTTATTGGCCTTTAAAAGGATGTAGAGGGAGAGATTAATGTAAAAACTTTATTTAAAGAAATACTAACAGAGAACGTTCTAAACCTAGAGAAAGATACGAATATACAGGTATAAGAAGGTCATAAAACACCAAGCCAACTCAACCCCAATAAGACTACCTCAAGGCATATAATAATCAAACTCTCAAAGGTCAAGGCTAAAAAATGATCCTAAAAGCAGCAAGAGGAAAGAAGCAACTATTAATGACATCATAAAGGAGTTCCAATATGGCTGGTAGTAGACTTCTCAGCAGAAACTTTACAAGTCAGGGGAGAGTGGAATGACACATTCAAAGGGCTGAAGGAAAAAAACTTCCAATCTAGAATATTATATTCAGCAAAAACAGCCTTCAAACATGAAGGAGAAATAAAGATGTTCTTAGTAAAAAACAAAACAAAAAAAAAGCTGAGGGATTTTGTCAACAGACCTGTCTTATAAGATTCTTGCTGAGAGGAGTTCCTCACTCGTTGAATATGAATGGTCAAATGAAAACAACATTAACATTCTCCTGCTTTGCATATTCTTCTAAAACATTTTGCATTCTAACACATCAGTCTGTCCACATCTTGCTTCTTAGGCAGGGGGCAATTTGATCCTAAACACTTGAAAAATGGATGAGGTCTGGTTTTATTACAAGATGACTACTCATAAGGAGTGACTGGCTGGGGTCGGTGGCTCACGCCTGTAATCCCAGCACTTTGGGAAGCTGAGGTAGGTGGATTACCCGAGGTCAGGAATTTCAGATCAGCCAGTCTGACTGGCATGGTGAAACTCCCGTTTCTACTAAAAATACAAAATTAGCTGGGCATGGTGGCACATGCCTGTAATCTCAGCTACTTGGGAGGCTGAGGCAGGAGAATCGCTTGAACTTGGGAGACAGAGGTTGCGGTGAGCCGAAATCATGCCATTGTACTTCAGCCAGGGTAACAAGTGAAACTCTGTCTAAAAAAAAAAAAAAAAGAGTGATTTAGGGTGTCCCCAGATAAATGTCCTGTAGCCTGTGACAAAAAGACTCTTTAGTTAAAATGCAAACATCCCAAAAAGAATACCATATTACCATTATTATAAATTCTTAAGGAATAGTTATTATCATCTGATATGATGGCTTATTTAGAAGGAAGGGAACCCATGATAGGTCTGTTTTGGAAAGGAATGGGCACAGGACAAAATGTTACGAGGTCTGATCAGAAGAGGCTTGTTCAGGCTTGTTTTTGTCTTGGAATCATGGGACAGGTATAAGGCCAAATTATACACTTCCCAGTCATGTTACCTTGGGCAAATAATTTAAAATCTGTAGTTTGCCAATCTGAGAATTGAGTCTGATACCTGTTCTAATTTAGTGTTGATTGATATGATGCTTAAAATTAGAAACATGTATGAAAGTTCTTTGCAAACTGTAAAATATATGTGTGAGGTATTATTGTTGGTTTAGAGGATGGACTATTGTCTTTAGAAGGCAAGTCTCTGGGTCCCACAGTTAGATGCACTGGGCGCTGTGGGAAAAATTTAGGGGTATGGGGCACTCAGCAGTTAGAGGGTGCTTAGACAAGGAAGAAAGGACTCATGAATGGAGTTTGGAGGCCCCTTGTTATCTAAACTTACACATTACATGACCAGCATCATGAGGCAGCACCCCACTCCCAACAAATAGCCCTCTAGAACCAAAAACATGGCAGATCCTGGGTCCTGTACATTGACAGCATAAAAAATGGAATAAGTCAATCATGGCATTACTGCAGTTCAGGCCCTGCAATGAGCAACCACCAGCATTATCTGCATTTCCAGGAACTTGGGCAGGAAGGGTGGGAATGGGGTTGGAAGGGTTAGGCCATATGCCTCTAGATAAACTCTGATGAACTTCTTTTATCCCCAACTGGAAAACGTAGGAGTTGGACTAAATTCCTCTCCTGCCTCTAATATTTTATGAATATAAGAACTTAACTCAAATTGGGTAGTATCTCAGAGATTCCAAATTTAGTTCTATTTTTCTGTTTGCTTATCAGTCCCTTATCCTCACCGTTATCCTGTACAATTGGTCAAAGCAGGTTGAGTAATGTGTGCTAAAAGGAGTAATATCTTGCATTTTCTCTTCGGTTATTAAAATAGAGGAAACTGCCTTGAAAGAAATGGTTAAAAGGCAATAAGCCTTAGTATCAGTATCTTCTGAAAGCTAAAAGCTTTTTAAAAAAAAAACAAAAAACACTCTAATCTCTACCAACAGATTTTGATTCTCAAGTTCTAAGCTGGAGTC